ATCTATGTGTTTTCCAGTTCAGATGGCTGGAGGAAACATCTGCTGGAACATATTAAATTTAAGTTCAAATGGTCTGTTGCTAGGACACAGGCATTCTAGAAAACAAATAGGGGGAAACAAGTTTCCTGTGTTTAAAAAAATCCTAAAATTGAAATTTTAGTAACAGATCCTTTTTAGAACTGAGATTTTGGTTTTTGGCAGTACATGGAATACCTCCTTTTGTGTGCTAAATGGTGCTGCTACCTGTACTTATGATTTATTTACATGCATTTAATTATTTGGTCAACTTTATGAGCATGACAACTGATTAATGCCCTAAAATTTACTTCCTGCAGGTTATATGCTACTCGGTTTGGTCTGCCCACTTCAATTCTGACATTGGTTTGGATATCTCAATTGTATAAACTCTCTTTGGACTTCTAACTAGTGGCAGCAAAAACAGAATATTAAAACAGATTTTAAAGAGAACAGAAATGTTTAAGTTTAAGCATAGACTTTAGTATTTATAGATGAATATAAATATTATTTCTTTGCATAGCCAAAACCATTGCAAAAAACAAGATACCTAAAACAAAATAGATACATCTTCCAAATGTTTTCATTAATATTAAAACTAATCTCCCATGCAGATAGTATATGACCCCAAAAGAAGTTAAGAGTAGAAAAGAAACTGAATTGCCCATCAGCAAATAATTTGTATATTATTTTATTTAAGAGACTTATTCTCCCTTTTTTGTAGTAACTTCTCAGTTTAACCTGTATGATTAATTCACCCTCCGCCAGTACATCCCCTCCAGGCCTTACTTACTGCTGCTGAAATCAACTTCACATTCCTTTGCATTTTTCCAAAACAACATCTTGGATCTTGGATCCATCTCTTTCCTTTCCCTATTATTTATAAGCAGTGCTCCCCCCCCCCAATGTTTAGGGGTACTCTCATTTTTACTCAAGAAAAACACCATTTTATAGTTCAAATCGGGGGAAATAAATACATTAAATGGACAAAAGTACAAAGATTCACAAAATGTTTAGGGATATGTGTCCCCCTACATCCCCCCAGAAAAAGCACTGTTTATAAGTAAGTAAGTAAGTATACTGCCCTATACCCACAGGTCTCAGACCTGTGCTGGTGCTTAGAAGTTATTCTGATTCCTAAGTTTTGGGGAAGAAAAAAAAAGGCACTCCTAACTAAAGTACTTCATAAACACTGAGCATTAAAACTTTATACAAATGATAGAATCATAAAATTGTAGAGTTGGAAGGGACTCTGAGGGTCATCTATTTCAGCCCCCTGCAATGCAAGGAATCTCAACTAAAGCATCAATGACAAATGGCCATCCAACAACTGCTTAAAAACTTCCAATAAATGAAAGTCCCACCTCCTGAGGGAGTTAATAATAATAATAATAATAATAATAATAATAATAGATTGGGACACTATACTTCTGTTGATGCAGCCTAGAAAAGCATTAGCTTTTTTCCCTTTCTGCTGCATCACCTTCTTGACTCGTGTTAAGGTTGTGGCCCACAAAGACCCCTTGATTCTTTTCACATGTGCTACTAGTAAGTCAGATGTCCCCCATCTTATATTTGTGCAGATGGTTCTTCCTGCCTAGGTACAGAACCTTAAACTTGTCCCTCTTGAAATTCATTTTGTTAGTTTGGGACTAGTTCTCTGATCTGTTAAGGTCATCTTGAATGCTAGTTCAATCTTTAGTGGCATTGGCTACCCCTCCCAGTTTGGTGTCATCTGCACATTTGATGAGCATCCCCTCAATTCCTTCATCCAAGTCGTTTATAAAGACATTGAACAACAACGGGCGCAGAAGAGAACACTGTGGCACTCCACTTATCACTTTATATACTACAGGATGGTTTAATTGCCCTCCCCACCAATGCATGGTAACTTGCACAAATAAATTTAGCAAACTCAAGGGCATTTTTGTTGTGACCAAACTGAAAACTGAAAGATGAAAGAATTTTCAGTGCATGCCCGTCTGTCAAACACTTTTGTGCCAATGCTGCCATCTGCTGGGCGTATGTTGGTAATGCCGTTTCACAAACATTTTAAGAGGAGAAAAACGTTTTTTAAAGATAAAGCAAAAATAATAGAAAAATAGAATACAAGAAGTGACTAATAGGCAACGAATCATTCATACTGCAGGGAGGATCAACATGAAGCAACAGAATGCTGAGAACTATGCATGCTTCCACTGGGCAACTCTAGGACTGGAGCACTCACGCAGTGCTGCTAGTTTCGAAGAAAAACAGAAGGCCTCCTTCCTCCTTGCCCCAGCCATGCAGCCCTACTGTTATAAACATTATTTCCTTGCTATGCACTTTGACATGCAAAGCTAGCACTAGAGCAATTACTCCAGCCCATTTTTAAAAAGTTGTGATTGAATGCTGCATTGGTTCTTGTCTTTTTGGCTCTTTCCCCACCCCCGGTTTCATGAGGCCAGGATATTATGCTACCAGGAATCATTTAGATCTTGTGGGAGTGTTGTGAAAAGTGCAAATAATGGCATTTGGGATACATTTTACTCAACTTTGTTGATTGCAGAATAAACATCTAGGCCAGAAAACGGCCTGGTAGATTATGGTTAAACATTTATTAATAATAAGAGCAGTTTGACAGTGGAACAAGTTACCTGAGGGTGGGGGCCACCTCTCACTGGAGGTCTTCAAGCAAAGATGGGAGAACCAACTTGGGGATTGCAGTGGGGTGGGCAGTCTACTCTATGGTTCCATGTACCAAGTTGAGCTTGGATCCACAAGCTTGCAGTCGTGGCGCCGGTTTGTTCATATCAGCCAGATCCATCCTGGGTAAGCTTATTATGTCTCAAGCAGGAGAACAGAAAGGTTAATGCTTTAGAGTTCCTCCAACTCTGGAAGCATTTCTATTTGTTTTTCAATGGCTGCAAGGTGTTCCTGAAGAAAAAGGGCAACTGTAAGTGAAGAAGGAATGGCGAATGGTGTAATCAGCGAATCATAGAATTGTAAAGTTGGAAGGGATCACAGGGATGGCAATAAAGCAGGTGTTTGACATTTCTGTAATTCTTTTTATGAACATTCTGGGCACACAGAATCTTTGCTGGAACAGTGCCACTTCTGAGATGGGAAGTATGTACTTACTTATTTTTTGCTTCAGCAATACTACAAAGAAAGTTGTGGCGGCAATATTGATTTAAGTAGGGAGAATCATTGGCTCCTTGGATTGCTTTGGTAAACTTTGAGGAGTAAAAGGTGTTTTCTCTCTCCCATGTTCTCTCTTCCACACACCAATACTCAGTGCTTTTTTTCCCCTTAAAAAAATGTTTAAGGGTACTCTCATTTTCCTACTCATTTTGAAATACTGCACCTCAATGAGGTCAAACTTAGATTCACAAAGTGTTTAGGGGTATGCGTCCCCCCCGAAAAAAGCACTGCCAATAATTAACACTTTGTAATTGCTAATTTATTTATATGACTGTATATTTAAAGTTGCCCATTGTCAAACTGGCTCCAGCATCCTTAATTGATGAATACAGGAGAATATTGCACTTTTACATAATACTACCTCAAATTTGACAGACTTTGATTTTTCAGTCTGGAATCTCTCTCTCTCTCTCTCTCTCTCTCTCTCTCTCTCTCTCTCTATGGGGCCAGATGCTGCCATGGTCCAAAAATGACAGGGTTCATACCAAGGGACTAACAGTAGGTCAAGAGGCTCAGATGCAGGTACACAGCCCAAATGAGAGAGGGATCTTCTTCCAAATAAGCAATAGAAGATTGCTTCTATAGGAGACCCCAAAAATGTGTGCAGAAAAGGCCAAGCTGGAGGCATGATTGAAGGCATCAACAGAGGATTAGGGGTTTAGAAGCAGACATGTAGTTAGAATCAGCCAGGGGTCAAGGTCCAAGGCAGCTCTCAGGGAAGATGAGGAGAAATAAACCAGAGAAGAAGGTTGGGGCTTTAGAGTTCTTGCTGTACAAGGATAGGTCCCTTGCTCAGGCAAGATGATGATGTAGCCTAGATGGCACCCCTAAACCACAAATCTCAGCCTGCCATGCTTGCAACAGCACTTGAGCACTCGTGGACCAGGAGGTAGGCACCAGAGAATTGAGCAGCTTGGAGCTCTGCCCTGAAACATGGGCTTTGGTGAGGGGGTTTCATATCTCTTATGGGAGTGGGTTTCCTTCCACCTGCTGTGTTTGGTGGGTGTGCACAAAACTGTCTCCCTGTCTCCCCAGTTTGTCTTTTCTGCAGGTTCTTCTCCTAATTAACACTACAGGGATTTCTCTGGCTGGGTGGCAACAAGCATAGGGTCCTCTCCAAAGGGTGGGGATATCTGCCCCATCATAACTCTTCTAGTTGGTACACCTGTAGGTTAAGATTCCACTGTTAAAGGTAAAGGGACCCCTGACCATTAGGTCCAGTCGTGGCCGACTCTGGGGTTGCGGCACTCATCTCGCTTTATTGGCCGAGGGAGCCGGCGTACAGCTTCCGGGTCATGTGGCCAGCATGACTAAGCTGCTTCTGGCAAACCAGAGCAGCGCACGGAAACGCCGTTTACCTTCCCGCCAGAGCGGTACCTATTTATCTACTTGCACTTTGATGTGCTTTCAAACTGCTAGGTTGGCAGGAGCAGGGACCGAGCAATGGGAGCTCACCCCGTCACGGGGATTCGAACCGCCAACCTTCTGATTGGCAAGTCCTAAGCTCTGTGGTTTAACCCACAGCGCCACCCGCGTCCCTTAAACAGGAGATTAACAAAAAATTGATTATTATTATTACTCTTTGTCCTTCAGCAGCAGGCCCCAGGGTACAACAATTTAAAATTCAGAACTAAAACAGTTAAAACAAATTACTCTCACAGGAAAAGGGTGGGTCCTGAAAACACACGTTTCAGGCCTCAGAGGCCAGCGTATGCAATTTATGTTAGCATCTGATCCTTGTTAATGCAGAGGAGAAAGCCGAGGGGGGCATTTGTAATGCACATAAACACTGAGAACAAAGAGGATAGTTCAGTCCATAGAGCAAGAGGCTCTTAAACTTAGGGTCATGGGTTCGAGTCCCATGTTGGACAAAAAGATTCCTGCGTCTCAGGGGGTTGGACTAGATGACCCTTGTGGTCCTGTCCGACTGTACAGTTCTTTGATTGTGGTAAACGTAGGCTTCACCTTTTCATCACAAACCCGACTGCAGCAAGATTTACTTTCAGCCTCCATGTGTAAAAATACCTTTGATCCAGCAATAGTAGCAGAACTCCAATAAATAAAACTGCATCCAGACACTTGCTTAGTTCATCTCCTGAAAAGTTGGACTCCATTGCTCTTGTATTTTAAATAATGCACCAAGGCCAACCAGCAAACCCTCTTATTGTACTAAGCACAATGTAACTGTATAGTTCAATAGCTCTAGGTATGGTGCTGGGAAATGCTGTGGTATCATGGAGTAGTGAGAAGTGTGGGGCAGTATTGGGGTGGAGAGGGCTGTTTCTGGCATGAGAAAAGAGGGAGGGAGAGAAGAAAGAATTCCTTCCCCCTTGCTGTCCTTGCCTCTTGACATGCCGAGACAAAGCAGGCAGTGACGGCTTTGCTTGCTCTGTAATTTTATGAACAACGGGGAGTTGGCGGCAGTGTTTCCCTTTTTGTATCTCTATGAAAGTGTTCTTAAAATGCGGATTATCCTCCCACCCATCAGCTTATCCTTGCTTCAACCTCAAGGCTTGTGAAGCCACGCTGTGGAGTCAGATCCCTCTGTTGCCTCCATGACAGTGAGCCCCCCTGGCTCAGAATGCAGCAGGGGTGAAGGGGGAGGAAGGCTGAGCAAAGGAGGTGCTTGGCGAGAATGGGGACCCCTGTCAGGCTACGCCAAGAGAGGGAGGAATTCAATTTGAGCAAGTTTATTTTCAGCACAGCCACATCCCTTTGGAAGAGTTGAGGAATGGCCCCATTGGATCGAGATGCATCACTTGACACCTGCCAAGGATGGAGCCCATGTCCCTGTGCCAAGGGCTGTCCCTGTATAGGAGGGCGAAGCTGCCCGCAGGCTCAGCTGCGCTTCTTTTGTGACTGAGTGAAATTTGTTCAGTGGGAGGACTCCATGCAGTTCTTTTCTCATGTGGGATTCAGATTGCAAAATGAGCGAGAAAATGCTGGTTTAATCCATCACGATTACCTGCGAGCCCTATGCTGGGCACTGGAAGGGCTTGTTCTGAAGTCTTTCATTAGCTAATATATAATTTGGGCTGAGTGACTGCCATGGCATTAAGTTACAAGCTCTGCTAAGTATATTAAAAGTTGCGAGTTTGTGTAACGCAGGCCCAGTTCAGAACACAGTTGTGCTGCCTTAAACGACTTCAGATCATGATTCAGAGTCAAGCCTGTTTGGTCCATGTTCTCAATGGCAGAACGATGAATAATTCCAGTGTGTGTAAAGTGAATACAAGTATATTTTTGCTGTCAGTCTGAACTCAGCAAATGAACTTGCAAGTGAAGCTCAATCAATGGAATTGCCCAACTAATTTATTTGGTTTGGCAATGCTCATTCATAAAGAAAGATCCATGTCGATTAGGTAGTTTTGGCAAGAGGAATTGTAAACTGCTATGTTGGGGTTAATGCTTTTTAGATTTCTTCAAAAACGCCTTTCTATAGAGAACTGTGCTCTCATACCCAAAGCAGAAATTTGTCACCATGGCAACTCAACAGACTTTGTGGGTGCTCTGTGGCTGCTGCCTGTAGAATTATCCTTGAAATGCTGTTTATTTTTTAAAATTCTGACAGGCTCGAGACCTGCGGGCAATGTGTTTTATAAGGAGATCTGAGGAGGGGCTAAGAAATGAACCTCTCTTTTCTTCCAGGTGTTTTATGAGGCTTGGGGCAAGATCGTTAGCCAAATCTCATTCCCTATCTTGATGTATCTTTTATGGAGTCCCTCTCCAAACTTGAGCAAGACTGTAATTTCCTCTCTAAATCTATCGATACCACTTTTTGACCCTCCTTTGCAACTTTCATTGTAGGCGAACAGAAAATATTTCAGAAATTGAAAAGAGTGCTGCCCACATTGCCTGAAGCCACGAAACAACACAAGAAAAGTTTTTGCTATGCGAATGTTATTGTATATTAAATGATTACTTTTTCCCTCTGGGCTTTTATATAGCTTGCATGCTTAATGATCCTGATTGCTGGTAGTTGCTAGCAACAGAGAACATCCCACCAACTGGGGCCAAAGGAAAAAGGCAGATTTAAATGTAGCCAGCATAAGAAAAAGAAGTAGGCAGCTGCCTGGCACAATGGAACTGCGAGGTGGGGGGGGGTGTTGCTTGAGGGAACTACCGCCGACTGAGGTACTTGCCTTCACATCCTTTTCTCGGTGTACATTTGCAAACAAACACATTATTTGTAAATAAACAAAATGAAAGTCTCCAGTAAACACATTTCAGAAGAAAACTCGACACTGTAAAAAAGCTCAAAACAAATTACACGTGAAAGTAGCCTGTGTGTATGTTTAAAATCCACCCCACTTATGCATAGAATGTGGGATGGGAAAGTCTGTTCTTAAAAGCAAATAGGGAATGTGGGTGAGGAGTGCTGAATTCTCCCCCTGCTTACCTGTTCACAGCTTTTATCTGAGCCAGGCTTCCTACCAGTGATGGAGCCTGGCTGAGAGAAAAGGGAAGTTGGGGGCAACCAGGGACAGCGAGCCACATGGAAGGAAGAATATAATGTCTCTACCTATTCTACCTTTCTTGCTCTTGAAATTGGACCTCCCACTTTCTGTAAGAGTGGGTGATCTGGGTTTAAATACAGAAATGTGCTGCTATCATGTGTAACTACTGGAGGTTGGTTTCATAGGGGGAATGGGGCACTGCCCCACCAACTACAATCTGTCCTCAGCTAGCACCCTCTTTCTTGCCTACTTACCTAACAACCAGCTGAAGGGATGACACTGGCTGCCAACTTCCTTGGTCTCAGTTTTGCTATTGCAGGGCCAGCCCAATACCTTTTGTGTCCTGAACCCCTGGCCTACCTGGTAGCAAGCCAGTATGTCAAGTCCAATGCTCAAAGTCTAGGGGTCAAACCACACAAGCAAAGTCCAAAGGACGGGAAACACAGTATAGGGCCAAGCCAAGTAGTCAAGTCTGAAGTCCCGCAGTCTGGACACAGTCACAGTCAGGACACAGTCCAGTCCCATAGAGGTCCAGGAGCATCCAAGCCAAGGTCCACCAACATGAGCAGTTGAGCAGACACATCATCGCAGCTCTGCTTCCCTTTTGTACTTTGCCTGCTGATTGCAGCATCTGGGCTTGATGAGGCAGGTGACCCTCACTTGTTCCCATCCTACTCCAGCTGAGGAATCACACACCTCTTCCCAGAGCTAGCGAGCTCTACCTAGCCAGCTAGGGAGCTGGGCTGTGGGCCTTTGTCTGCCTCAGCCTCTTGGAGCATCACTCCTGTTGCTCCCTATGCCTCAGAGCCCACAGTGTTCATGGGGACAGGGTCCCCTCTGGCTCTGGTGGTGGGTCCTGCTGCTCTGGTTTCTGTGAATTGACCTCCACCTCCTCGCCATCCTCTGTCACCCAGTGAGTACTTCCTTCCCCATCCCCTGCTTGCCCCAGTCCTGGCTATACTTCTCCCCATTGTCCTTCCACCTGAGGCAAACCACAAAACAGCACCCCGCCCTTTCCTGCCAGGGAAGAAGGCGTGAGTGAAGATCTACATCAGGAATAAGAGGGCAATAAAGATCTACATTTGGAACTGCTGCCCCTGCGGATCTTGCTGTATGAGGCCAGTGCCCTGAAATACAAAACTGGTTTTGAGGGTGCTTGGGGAGCTGGCGGAGGACAGCAGAGGAAGAGGAATTTCAGTTGTGCGCATGGAACTCTGTTGTGCAAGCAGATCTGCAGCATTGTGTATAATCCTTTGTTTCCCATTTTTATCCTCACTACAACCAAGGGAGATGCATTAGGCTAAAAGATGGTGCCCAAGGTGACCCAGTAAGCATTGTAGCTGACTGGGGGTTTGAACTCAAGTCTACTAAAACAAGTCCAAAATTGTATCTATTGCATGACACTGAATTCCACAGGCTGGTTGCACATTTGTCCAACCCAACACTGGAAGGTTACTGTCCTTGGTTATTTTATCACCTGTAATGTACCAAAGCTACTTTCAAAGATGCCGGTATGCAATTGAGCCCATTCATTTATTAAGATGAATGTCAAAGCACCCCTCACCTTCGGAGGCTAGTCAGGTAAGACCAGTGATGATAGGTATTTGAAGTTTGTTCTGCTGCTGCTTTATATTAAATAAATAATCTGAGTACAAGTGATCTTAGAACAGGTTTTCCCATATAAGACACACTTTTCGTTTCACGTTGGAAAAAGAATGGAATGCAAGCAGCATTTTGTTGCCAAGGTGTGGGCAGCCATCTCATTTGCTACATTATTTTAAGTGTTTGATCATCCTTCACATTTCATCAGTTTTTTTCTGCTTCTCTATCTTTAGACTGAGAGATGAGGACAACTTCCGTTGATAAGGGAAGGCAAGCTTACTGTGATCGTTAGATTTCTGTATTGTAATTATGTTATGCACTAACCAGGTTTGTGCAGCAGAATCCTATGGTTTACTCAGAAGTAAGTCCTATTAAGTTAAACTGGAATCCCGTACTTATAGATATAATTTTATTTATTTATCTCACCTGTATTATTCCCTTCATCAGTCGTAGTGTCGTGCACATGATTATTGTCCTGCTTTGCATGTCCTACTTTATCCTTAAAACAATTCCAAGATGTAGGTTAGGCTAAGACAGGAATGGGGAACTTGTTGCTCTTTAGATGTGTTGAACTCCAATTCCCGGTCCTAGCTAGCATGGCTGGCGATCAGGGATGATGAATCTGTAGTCTGGCAACATCTGTAGGGCCACACCCAACCCTGAACTAAAAGATAATGACATACCCCAGATAGCCCAGTGAGTTGAGCAGAGATTTGGACACAAGTTCCCCTACACCACGATAACTTGTCACAATTCACCAATCTACCACTTATAACCTGGTGACAATATGATGTTAAAGTTGGTGCCAGGTGGGCCTTATTGGGGCAAGCATTCCACACACAAGGTGCCATGACTGAAAAGGCCCTTTCTTGTGCTGTTGCCACCCTCTTCTTGGAATGAGCACATAGACAAGGGCAGTCCTTTTTTTCTGGGGGTACGCATACCCCTAAACATTTTGTGAATCTAAGTTTGGCCTCATTGAGGGGCAGTATTTCAATATGAGTAGGAAAATGAGAGTACCCCTAAACATTTTTTAAAGAAAAAAAGCACTGGACAAAGATATTAGAAGATGACCCTAGGGGCCAGATCAGTTCAGGTCAGAAGAGGCATTTTGTCAGGTATTTGGGCTTTGAGCTGCATAGGGATTTGTAAGTTAAAACCAGGACTTTGAATTGGGATTGGAAACATATCGGCAGCAAGTGCAGCTGGTGTTATACGACCAGGCCACTCTGTTCTCATCAGGAATCTGGCTGCTGCATTCTGCGCCAGCTGATGTTTCTGGACAGTCTTCAGAGATAGCCTCATGTAAAGCACATTGCAGTAATCTCACTCAGAGGTTTCCAGAGCATAGATTAATGAATTCAGATTATCCCTGTCCAGACTAGGGCATAGCTGGAGATAGCTTCACTCTGTTTTTGGTATGTGCCTTATGCTCCAAGGTGAGACGAAAAAGCTTATATGGAAATAAGCAATGCTTTAAAAACATTTCTATGAACACCAACCCCTACAATTTGATGTAATGTTCAAGCTTGTCCTCCCCATCTCTTTTATGTAGTTACATTGATTGTTTTCAGTACATTGCATACTTGTGTTTCTCCCCCAACCCCACTGGCTCATTAGTGATATTTCTGGAGGTCTAGTTTCCACAGTAACAAGCAATTACCATTGTTCCATGGACTGCCAAAGTTACCACAAGCGACACAGAGGGAGATGCATTACTTTTCTATATTGGGATAAAATGCTTGCACACTTCATGCTAGTCAGTGCGTGCCAGTACTGACGCATGTTCCTTGCTATTGGCACATCACTATCCTCCTTCTGCAGCCATCATAATATCAAGATGAACTAACGCTATCTATCTAAATGCCAACTACTTTGAACATCAGTGGCAAAAGTCAATGTTCCCCCAAGTAAATCAGGAATTCCTGAGATGTATGGTGAGTTCCTTGGCGAGATCCATAATTATTTCTGATTTTGAAAAAAAAATTGCATATTGTGGGGACCATTTGTGAATTCTGGATCTTTGCTTTACACTTGTGTGCATTCCTGAGAAGATGCTCCTGGAGAGTTAATGGAGTGCAAATTTGCTTTCACCTGCTGTTAACATCTCATATTGATTGTTACTGTTAGATCATAGACATCACTGAGAAAGGGCTGTAGCTCTGTAGGGGAAATACCATATGTTTTGCATGCAGAAGGTCCCAGGTTCAATCCTGGCATCGCCAGGTATTTATTTGCTTATAGGATTTCTTACTCATCCTTCATCGTAAGGTCCCAGTGTAAGTTACAACAATATAAAAATACAGTACTAAATCAGTTCAAAAGGTTAGCATCAGAAGAATATGGTGGGTAAAGGGGTGCATCTTAGGCATACGATAAAAGCTACATAATGAAGGTGCCAGGTGTACCTCTGTGGGGAGGGAATTTAACAACCACGGGGCTGCCACAGAGAATACGCACTCGTGGGCTGCCATTCCCCCAAACTTCTGGAGGCAGTGAAACAGCCAGGAAGTCCCCCTCTGCTGATCTTAACACCCAAAAGGCTCTGTATGGAACAATGCGTATGTTTTAACATTGCAAACGCCCATAATATTTTATTGTGTGATGTTATAAAAACAAATAAACAAGAGGCAGTCTTTCAGATATTTGGGTCATGAGGGCTTTAAACACAAATGTGGGCACTTTGAATTGGGCACAGAAACAAAATGGCAACCTGCGCATCATTTTTGAACAGGAGCTATGTGAGTTCTAAATGGAACCCCAGCCAGAAATCTGAATTTTGGACTAGTTGAAGATTCTAAGTCCTCTTCCTGGACAGCGTCCTGTAGAGCACGTTGTGAAAGTTTCTGGAGCATTGTGACCAAGTTGTGTCTGTTCAAAAAGGACTGTAAAGGGTGAAGCAGCTGAAGCTGGCAAAGGACACTCCTAGCCACCAAGGCCCCCTGAGCCTCCAGTAAGAATGCTGGATCCACAAGCAGCCCCAAAACTTTGGATTTGCTCCTTCCAGGGGACGGCAACCTTGTCCACAACTGGCCATCTCTACACCTTCCCAGACCTGAGAACACATAGCAGATGTGTGATTGCTTTTTTCAACTTTCTATAAAACAGTCAATCTATTTCCCAGTTGCATTTTATAGAGAGACATGATAGTGTTGTTGTTCTCTGAAGAAGTATAGTTGTGCACACAATTGTTTAAAAGCAGGAAAGAGACAAGTGTACCTATCTTTATAGAGGATACATAATAAAAGCAATAATAACTTCAATAATTTCTACTCCCTAGCTTTTAGGCCATTGGCTAGCACTTAAAAAAGAAAGAAGCAAGGAGAGCTGAAATGGTATGATGATTTCAAGATTAACACATATTTCTGGTTCCAGACTTTCCAGGAAATACTCCACTCAGTGTTACTCTGCAACTGGAAGCATTGTTTGGCATCCGTCTATCTCAAAAGACAATGGAGAAGCATCAAACTTTATAAAAAGAAAAAGAAAAAGAAAAGCCAAGGTTATCAACTTTTTAAAAAATCATCAATCTCACAAGAATCACTTGATGTGATAAGATTTAAATGTTGCAATCCAAGCTAAATGGCCTCGGTCCAGTATACCTGAAGGAGCGTCTCCACCCCAATCGTTCAGCCGAGGGCCTTTTGGCGGTTCCCTCACTGCAAGAAGCCAAGTTACAGGAAACCAGGCAGAGGACCTGCCATGTGGAACCATAGCTGTCAACTTACAGATTTGAAAATAAGGGACCAGCAGCCAAAATAAGGGACCTGCAGCCTCACCTGTTCCAGGCACTCCAGTCTTCCTGTCCTCCTGCAGTCTGGTCAAACTCATGCTGGTAGCTTCGAGAACACTGTCCAACCAACTTTGTAACCAGAGGTTCAACTGAATAGAATCTGAATCACATGCACCACAAGGCCCATGCAGCCTCAACTTAAGATGGCTCCCCGGCCTGGCTTTGCACTGCAAAGTTTGCAGCAGCACGTGCAACAAAATGGCGTCCAGCATTCAAAAACCCCCTCAACTTGCATTAACTAGCCACACACAAGGCATGCAAGCTCCACCCCCCAGTCGTTCTTAGACTTCTTATTGGGTGAGCAACATAGCCAAGCAACACAGTTGGAGCCTCCCTGGCTGGCAGGAAGGGAGGAAGAGGAGCTGCTTCCTTTGAAATTTAAGGGACATCATTTAAGGGACATCTATCAATAAGGGACAGCAGTGGGACATGGCGCTGGAATAAGGGACTGTCCCTTCAAATAAGGGACACTTGACAGCTATGTGTGGAACGCCCTCCCACCAGATGTCAAAGAGAAGAACAACTACAGTGGTGCCTTGCAAGACGAAATTAATTCGTTCCGCGAGTTTTGTCGTCTTGCGATTTTTTTCGTCTTGCGAAGCACGGTGTCGGGAAAGTTTTGGAAAAGCTTCAAAAATCACCAAAGTCTTTAAAAACCTCAAAAAAGGCTACCACACCGCGTTCTATGAGTTGCTCCTCGAAGTCAAGTCGCAACTGTATTAACGGTGTTAAGAAAAAGGAAACAAACTTGCAAGATGTTTCCGTCTTGCGAAGCAAGCCCATAGGGAAAATCGTCTTGCGAGGCAGCTCAAAAAACGAAAAACCCTTTCGTCTAGCGAGTTTTTCGTCTTGCGAGGCATTCGTCTTGCGGGGCACCACTGTACCAGACTTTTAGAAGACATCTGAAGGCAGCCCTGTTTAGGGAAGTTTTTAATGTTTAACAGACTACTGTATTTTAATACTTTGTTGGAAGCCACCCAGAGTGGCTGGGGAAACCCAGCCAGATGGGCGGGGTATAAATAATAAATTATTATTATTATTATTATTATTATTAAGCACTTCCTAAAAAGGGTGTGGAATCTTTTTGCTCTAGCTGTTGAAATTGGACTGTCTAGTCCCTATTGATCAGAGTAAAGTTGATGCCAGTTGGCTCTTTTAAGGGAATGCTTAAAATAAAATAAAGGGGCATTGCTTAGTTTAGGACAGCCATTTAGAAAACAATAGACATCTTCTGCTTCTACACTTCATGCTTCCTTAAAGCATAATAGATGTCCCTCATTTCAGAAATTTATCAGCACTAAAGGGTCTCAAACTGGCATCCTCATTCCCAGGAGGGGGCTCACTGGTGGAGAGCTTGTTGTCCCTTCCAATTATCCCCACCCATGGCATTTCTGCTTGACCACTGGTGACTCTTCTGGCTTTGGTTTCAGCAACAGTCTACTTGGCCTTGCTTTGGGCTGAAACTTCTCAGCCTGTACTTCCTTTCTAACTACCTGCAGCCTTGTGCCACTCCCAGCTCCCTGCCCTTACTTCCTGCTCTGTTTGGACAGGCTCTCTGGGCGCTGGGTATGACCTTGGCACTATTTGACTCTGGCTATGATTCTCCATGGCATCAGCAGCTGAGATTTGATTGCCTCGCCTCTCTCCGGAGTCTCCCAGCTTACTGGCTGCATTTCTCGCTACAATGGAGACCCTGCAAAGACTCCCAGGAGTTTGCATGTGTCTCTAATTCTTGCTATATCTTGATATAAATTCATTTCTCCTGCTTTGTCTCTAACTTTTTAAGATGCTGTCTAGGTTTGTCATTGCTTTTCTCTCAAGAAGCAGGCGTCTTTTAATTTCGTGACTGCAGTCACCATCTGCAGTGATCATGGAGCCATCACCTTGCCAACAAAGGTTCGTATAGTTAAAGCTATGGTTTTCCCAGTAGTGATGTATGGAAGTGAGAGCTGGACCATAAAGAAGGCTGATCGCCGAAGAATTGATGCTTTTGAAATATGGTGCTGGAGGAGACTCTTGAGAGTCCCATGGACTGCAAGAAGATCAAACCTATCCATTCTTAAGGAAGTCAGCCCTGAGTGCTCACTGGAAGGACAGATCCTGAAGCTGAGGCTCCAATACTTTGGCCACCTCATGAGAAGAGAAGACTCCCTGGAAAAGACCCTGATGTTGGAAAGATGGAGGGCACAAGGAGAAGGGACGACAGAGGACGAGATGGTTGGCCAGTGTTCTCGAAGCTACCAGCATGAGTTTGACCAAACTGCGGGAGGGAGTGGAAGACAGGAGTGCCTGGCGTGCTCTGGTCCATGGGGTCACGAAGAGTCGGACAGGACTAAATGACTAAACAACAACAACCCCTGCTTTGTACACTTGCTGCCTATTGGTTGCTCCAGCAATATTTGTGAAGCACCATCTTCCCTTGTCCTTCATTCTTGAAGAAGAGACAGGAACATTGCCTGGGATACTGCATCCTTCAGATTTCTGTCAGGATTGAGGAATAAGCATACAACTTTGCCTCATGTATGCATGCTAACAGTCAAAGACGGTTGGTTGATAGCACTGTGATTCCTGTCAGAAATGCCTGTAGCTACAATAGCTAGAAAATGTAGTTAAAGCTGAGTGCTGGGGCATGAGAAAACATTTCCATAATTAAAAGTGTCCACATGCCACCAGTGATAAGATGATAGCATCATATATCCACCATCAATTACCACTGAATACCCCACCATTTTCATTGTTATTCACCCATGAAATGGAGTTTTAGAAGAAAGCTAATAAAGCCCAAGTGGCTCCTTTATCCTAGAGAATGTATCTGGTGTCTCTGGTTCACATTTTACTATTGCGTGTTATTACAAAATTCTCCAGATTTGCTTGAAGCACGACATAAGAGCATATATACATCACCAGAAAATCACCTCAAAGCAGTGAAACCAATGAGTTATCTTATGTCATATCAGTTATGTAAACAATTCTTGTGCGAATCAGTCTGTATTCACCGATTTGCCTCTATCACATAAGCCACGATCATGGCTTAGTATTCAGATATGGTGCAGAAATGTACGGTTTGTGCATTTATGTGGCATACCACAGAATTCTGGTGAACGTGTAGGTAAAGCAGGAATATGCAAAATTTCACTGAAGAGAATCACATATACATATAGCACAGTATACCAAGAGAATGTTTCTCTTCCCTCTTCTCAAATTTTCATTCCTATTTCTCCTATGTTCCCCTTCCTTTATGCTCAGTTATTGAGATGATTTAGCACACATCCTTACAGTCAATCTAAACCGGCCTATCTTCCCAACTACTCTCTTTTTCCTGTATCGAAGGCCCTGAAGGCCCAACTATCATTCTCTGGTTCCCATGGCAATGACAGGGGCAACCAATCCCAGAGTTCATTGCTTCTGAAGCCAAGTGCTCATAACAGATGTGGGGTTCCCCCCCACGCTCAGTTTCCACCCCAAAATGAATGGGTAATTTCTTCCCCAAACATTTTTTGGGCAAACTTCTGATGTTCCAAATGAAGCCATCAATGAACTCTCTTCTGTCTTCTCCCGGAGAAAGTACTACCTCATCTGGTTATCATCATTACTGGCAGGTTGAACACACACACACACACACACACACACACACACACACACACAGCAATTCTGTAGAAAAGAAAAATATTTTTAAAGTTTTGCATGCAAGTCTATACAAATTTAAGGGCACCCAATATTTTTTCCAGATATTTTGCTTTTGAATGTTTGGTGTCATGAATGCTAGTAGCCACTAAGTGGAGCTGTTGGGCCACAGTTTCGACCGATCTTGAAAGAACATATTTTGAAATTGGAAAGCAGACCATATGCTTACTGGGGGTTGGGGTGGGAGTGGTTGATGGGCACTCATAACGCTAGAAAAATGGTCTTCTTTGATACAGGGTGCACTGAAAAATAATCCATATGCATTTTTCATGCATGACAACTGTTCTTTCTTTGGTAGCTTTGGTAATTTAAGACTGGTTCAATGAGCGGAAGCTCTATTTTGGCTTTATTAGTTATCTGCTAAAACTCCATTTCACGGAAGAATAACAATGATAATGTTGGGCTTTAGTTCCAGGGGTTTAGAAAATCTCTCTCAAAAGATGTTAGAGAACCGAGTGGAGGGTCTCTCAGGTGACTTGTTCTGTTCCAGGGAAAGTAACAACACAACTAAAATGATAATGATGTCTTATTAGTGCTTTGGAAGTTTCCACTTCCAACACAGAGCTGGCCCAAGACACACTGTTGCTGAAGGTGGCAGGAAAGCGAAAGGGCTTCCCCCATGCCTGTGGTTAAAATCTGACAACTGTCCATTTGCTTCTTTCTGTTGCCTTAGGTGGTGGACTTCACCGCTCCTAATAGCAAGGGTGGCCCTGCTTCAAATTTGTTCATAAAGAAGATGAGAGAGAAAAGTGGACCACAAATTGCCACGACTCCTGTGAGTGAATCAATGTGGGCAAAGGTTAGCTAGCAATAAAGCTGCAGAAAATGCTATGCATTAGTTTAGGATATTTGGATTTCTAACCCATGCCATCAGGAGCACAGGGTGCCTACCTACGTATAACTACTGATAAAATCAATGCGAACAATGATTGAAACCAGAACCAGCAACAAAAATCAGTAGAGCAAAGAGTGATATCAAACTTCCTGACAGCTATGTGCCAAAGGCATGAGGGAATTAATATGGTAATGTGGGGGGAGGCGCAGCAGAATCTCCACCACGTGGGAGTTCAAGAGGGTTGCTACCCCATCCAGTAAAGGCCACTTACCTAATTCTTGGACCTGGGAACTACTCTGTCGGAGTGCCTCTGCCTCATCAGGATTCAACAGTTTATTGGCCCTCATCCAACCCATCACTGCCTCCAGACACTGGTCCAGCACTTGTATAGATTCTCCTGATTCAGATGGAATGGCAAGTTAGAGCTGAGTGTTATCTACATATGGGTGACAATCATCACACACTAAATCTCTGGATGACACCTCCCAGTGGTTAAGTAGCATGGGAAATAGAAAAAAAAAATAAACTCAGCAAAATAAAATACCCAATAAAAGGGCAATATATCAAAGTGAAATAGCTCATACTCATTTAAGTAGCACAAGGAAAACCTGACGAGAATGCACATCCGACTTCTGAAAGTCACCAGTTCTATTTTTTTTAATAAAGGAAATGTATTAGGAATTAAAATTAAATTAATATAATTCTTTTTGTTAAATAAAAATTTGATTTTTTTGGGGGGGGGGGGATCCAAGCCCCAGACAATAGGCATGGCAGCATAAGGTTTGTGAGATAATAATTACGGCCAAATTAACCAATTTTACATTGACAAGAAATAAAACACTGTATAGATTTTGGATGGAAATAATTCCCCCCCTTTATTAAGTATTGAATGAGTACGCACAATTTACAAATCTAACCACAGTGTTGTTTATTCATGGTGTAATAATTATTTTCTATTTATAAACTGTTTTAATGTGTGTAGTGTTGCTTTTTTGGCCCCCCCTTCTTTTTTTACTGCTGTTAACTTTTTTTAAAAAAAGTTTTGATTTTTAAAAAGTTAATCTGTCATCCTTACTGTTGTGCAATAGAAAGAAGGGCAATAGATGTTAAAAGCAGTATAGGATTCAAAGATTTAGGTATAGCAGCCAGAAATATTTTTACTATCTTATCATTTGCTATCTTGTCATTAAGGAGACAGCATTAATAGGTTTGGCAGTGTGTACTAAAAGCCCATGGTTAATCAACATTTCAGTTGCAACTTCAGGCATGGAAAACCTCTGGCTCACAGGCCAAATTAGGCCTAATGTGGTTGTAATTTGTCTTGCAAGCCACACCCACCCAGTCCATGCTCTGACACTTGACATATGTGAGGTCGGTAAGGACATGGCTACAAAGGTGCAATGAGGAGTATAAAGGGAGCTCTCAATTGTTCCTTTACAAGTGGGGCTCACAGACAGGGCCAGTCACTGATCAGTGCTGACAGAGAGCTCCTAGTTCAGCTGTGCCAGGGAGTCCCCTATCTGGGAAATTGCCCACTTGCAAGTGTGGTTTGAATTCAAACCATGCTTGCAATAGGACAAAGCAGGTGAGCCCCTTTGCAGTGAGCCCCTTTGAAGTTGCCATAATGATGTCAGGTGGTTGATAGATGGGTGGCCCCGTCTTTCAGAATGGCCCATGGGGAAGCTGAGGATCCAGTCCACTGGCCAGAAAAGGTTTCCTACCCCTGTACCACTTCATACATTGTCCTAAGTGTGATCTCACCATGGGAAAAAATGTAGAGTAGGGATATATGCAGTCAAATCCCAGCGTAACTGTATACACAACCATTGCTGGAAACTTGGACAGAACACTGTTGCCTGTCCTCTTGTCTTCATCTAGATACCTGACAAAAGAGACAAGCTACTGCAAGATCTTTAGGGCAGGTCAGAGGCTCAAACCAGAGGCAGTCTGTAATATGAGGTAGCAGGGAAGTAGTCAAGCAAAAATAATGCAGAATAGCCTAGTAACTTCACTCACAGATGTTGCTTAGAGAGATATATCAAAATATGCTGTGTGAGAAATATAACAGGAAGTGGAGAATCACTGATTCCCCAAATCACCAAAGTCCCAGTTCATGAGAGTTCTGAGAGGCTCTCCTGCTAGGTGCCTGAAAGTACCAACAGAGCCCTCCTTTGACCATTTGTAGAGGAGATTGAGACTTATTCTCCAAACTGTTTTCCTGTTGGAAGCACCTACTGACTGATTTTAGTAAGTTCTTCTTTGCTTTTCCTTAGTCAACATCCATGGTGCCCTCTCTTGCTGACTGGGAAATAACTCCATAGCAAATGGTATCTGATAGATCACTCAGAAGACATTATTCCTTTAATAGGAAAATATCCACAACAGAGAGTCATTGCCTCTGCAATGTGAGGCACACTGCTGAACATTTTAAACCAAGTTGGCAACCAAACTAGAAGACTAGGGAATTCCTGTCTCGATTGATGCAAAGGGCCTTGACCATTACTTAGACAGCAATTAACATGGAGAGCATTGGGTGTGTCAGAGATATCAATTTGCTTCTGTTTGAAAGGATGCTAGCATGTTCAAACCAGCAAAAAACTGGTAGCAGTAGAAATAATCACATTGCATTTAGGCAGAACACCATGGAGACTTTAAAAATACTGTGTGCATGATAGCTTCTCTAGAAAAGTACAGTGAGTCATTTCCAACTGCATAAGAAAAAATACCAAAGGAAACAGTTGTATGTTTGCATGATGGAAGATGCAATCAAGACAAAACCCAAGAGGTGCTTTTTTTTATGTGTTATGTGTTACTTTTTGTGGCTGATGAAGTGAACTCTAGTCCATGAAAGTTAATGCCATAATACAATTTGTTTGATTAGAATTATCAGAACTTGGCAAGGCAGAGAATTAAACATGTGAAAGTATCATTTCAGGCCATCCCAATCCCTGCCAAGGATTCCAGGGGTATTGGCCCCCAACCAGGGTCTCTGCTCCTTTGGAGAATTGAAAATGTGGCGAAATAAGAAAGAAGAAACCATAAGAAATATGGTTTATTCACATATTTACACCTGAGTTTGGATGGAGGGCATTTGGTCTTATAGCATGGTCATCTCAAGAGGGGCTTTTTCCCCACAGCAGTGTGGTAGTAGAGTTGAAGGCACCTCTTCCAGCCTGCCTTCAGCCAGCTTGCCCAAGATGGATCTCTCTCCTTTCCTGTTCCCAGCACTGCTTGCTAAAGACACTCTTTTCCTTTCCCCCCTCTCTCACACCCCATCACCTTGGCAACCTCTGTCTGTCCAGGCCCAAGGATTCCTCTTAGATGGGTCATCAACACCTTTTGTCATGTTAATGGATTTGCTCTTCATCAGCCCAGCCAAGCTGGTTTGCAAAAGCCAGCACAGAGATTGCTTGTCTGGCACAGTTCTGCAGCTTGTATTTCTCCCTTCCTATCCCAAACAATCAAAATTGATTAATTTCTATGGTTTGGGGAGGTGTCCCCCAAACCTATAACAATGTACTGGTGGAAATAAAAGACCTTAAAGACCTTAATATTGAGCTGGCTTGCCTTTAATGCTAAGCCAGAGGTGGGGAATCTCAGGCCTAGGGCCAAATGAAGAAGAAGAAGAAGAAGAGTTTGGATTTGATATCCCGCTTTATCACTACCCTAAGGAGTCTCAAAGTGGCTAACAATCTCCTTTACCTTCCTCCCCCACAACAAACACTCTGTGAGGTGAGTGGGGCTGAGAGACTTCAGAGAAGTGTGACTGGCCCAAGGTCACCCAGCAGCTGCAGGTGGAGGAGCGGAGACGCGAACCTGATTACGAGTCTACCGCTTTTAACCACTACACCACACTGGCTCTCAAATGAGGCACTCCACGCTTCTTTTTCTAGTTGCCACCAGAGCTAGAAATCAGGTGAGATGGAACAGAAGAGGGTGCTTGGAGGGTTGTGGGTGAGATAGAGGTGGGACAAAGGCTTGTGGTGGTTGGGACGAGGAGGGGCTCAGAGGCTCACCAATGTTACTAGGAGAGGGGTTGGCCTTGTCATACTTCAGATGACATCACTAGGTACATGATGGAGTCCAATGTGGGTTATAACAAGGTTTGGAATAAAATGAAACATTTCCATAATTTGGGGTGGCGGGTAAATTCAATTTTTGAAACCTAATCCTGAGCCAATATCTCTCCTAGAAACTCAGGTGCCAACTTAGTTCATTCCAAGCCAAGTTATGAGTCTAACCAGGAGGATGGAAGGGAAAGGCAGTATTTGGTCTGTCGCTAATTCTGGTGCTTGTTGCCGTCATCTGTAGAATATCTAATCTGTTCAGTTGGAATTAATGGCAGAACATGGTTGGGTCATGCTATGAACCCCGTCAGAAAAGGAAGTACAGTGGAACCTCGGGTTAAGTACTTAATTCGTTCCGGAGGTCTGTTCTTAACCTGAAACTGTTCTTAACCTGAAGCACCACTTTAGCTAATGGGGCCTCCTGCTGCCACTGCGCCGCCGGAGCCCGATTTCTGTTCTTATCCTGAAGCAAAGTTCTTAACCTGAAGCACTATTTCTGGGTTAGTGGAGTGTGTATCCTGAAGTGTATGTAACCTGAAGCATATGTAACCTGAAGCGTATGGAACCCGAGGTACCACTGTAGTCACTTGTCTGCTGAGAGTAGGGGACTTCCCTTATGAAACACAAACAGAATATACATAAGAAAGGCCAGCACCAGAACTTGGGGAGTACAAACTAGGATCCTTCAGGTACATTGAAATGCATTCCGACATTATACAAATGCATGCAAATATGCAAGACCAAAGTGCTAGAGTAAAGACTGGTGTGTATAGCAGATACTTTTATGCTGACAACTGTTTAAGTGTGTCCTATGTGCAACATTACTGGCCCTATAAATGTATCGCCTATCTTCACCAATAGTAAGAACATCTTTGTGCCAGACCTGAAGAACTTACTTTGTTTCATGTTGTTTTCAGTTGTTGGCATGAAAAAGGTTATTGATCTGTGTAACTGTTTAATAATTCAGGCTTTCCATTCTTGAACTGTGAGCTTCTTTGGTTAAGAGTAAAAGGAACAGGTGAATGAAAACTATTCATAATTGGTCATGAGAGAGACAACGCTACTCCTATCACAAAAATCCAAATTTGAAATATTATATTTGCATTTTTTGGAACTATAGGCACAGATTCCTCATGAGGCTGACTATATCAGCTCTGGACAAAGACTGAACTCAATGATTTTAAATGGTGGTATCAGAGTTAAAAATGTCATTTAAAGGTGTTAAGAGTGACCAATATATTTTTCTGAAGCAAAAGAAAAGACCACTAAACTACAGAGAGGCATTCAGCAATGAATTTCCACGCCTAAGAAAAGGAAGGGCAGATTCTGAAGGATACCATAGCTTTCACAGGTGATGATTAATTATTTTAAATAGACTAACAGCACAATCCTACTAAAAGTAAGGTTTACTACAGGCATGGCCAAACTTGCCCCTCCAGATGTTTTGGGACTACAGCTCCCATCATCCCTAGCTAACAGGACCAGTGGTCAGGGATGATGGGAATTGTAGTCTGAAAACATCTGGAGGGCCAAGTTTGGCCATGCCTGGTTTACTATATTCAGTGGGGATTACTCTCAGGACAGGATTAGGCCTTATATTGCCTTAGGACAATATAAAATTGTCCCTAAAAAAAAAAAGGGTGACGACTCAACTATATGTTGGATGTGAAAATATCCATGGAGACCCAATGATCTGCTTCATTCTTGTCAAGGAACTTTGTAAGAAATCATTTTGAGGGAGAATTCAGCAGGAGAGGGGTTGCTCAACCCTTTCCCAACACACCACAGAATTGATATAATTAGCAAATAATATGTGCAATATGCAAATTAAGCCACTTAGATTTGGGAAACTGGAATCTGGCATCCCCAAGGGCAGTGAAGTGAGTACCATGAAACAATAATGTGACAGTTCACCATTACAGTTGTACCTTGGTTTTCGAACAGCTTAGTTTTCGAATGTTTTGGCTCCCGAATGCCGCAAACCCAGAAGTGACTGTTCCGGTTTGTGAACTATTTTTGGAAGCCAAACACCCAATGGGGGCTTCTGCGGCTTCCGATTGGCTGCAGGAGTTTCCTGCAGCCAATCAGAAGCCCCGCTTTGGTTTCCGAACATTTTGCAATTCGAATGGACTTCCGGAACGGATTCCATTCGACTTCCAAGGTACGACTGTGTTCAATATCTCTATTTGATGAAGAAAAAATTAAAAGTTGAACACATAAAAAGCATAAATTATATTAAAGAAATATCCTGAATCAATTTGGCCCATATGCTCACCATGCCACATTGGTTGTGTGAATTGGCCCTTAATTATGCTACTATAATCCCCAACGCTGACATAAAAATTAAGGCTCAAACCAAAGCAGAATTACCAAGGTGAATCAGGGCCTTGTATCCACTCTGCAGCTCGTCAACTACCTGTGAAAAAAGGTCATGCTAATCATAGAGCATTTTCATATGTGAGGCTGAATCAGTCTGTAACACAAATGTAAAACACATCTTGGCTGCAAATGTAAATTATGTTTCCAGAGGGTTAGTAGTTGTGTTAATCTCTTGCAGCAAAAAGAACCAAGAGTCTTTTGATACCTTAGTTTAAAACTTTCCTGTAGCCAACGTAGTCTTTGAAAGCTTATGCCATAATATGTTAGTTTTTAAGGTGTCGCAAGACTTTGTGGTTTTTATATAGATTCAGTTTTTCTTTTTTCCTATATTAACATCAACATGACACAAATAGTGAAAAAGAAGTCCAAAAGCTCACCTAAGCCTTACGTATGAACATCTGTTGCTGTGATAAACCTATCACCTGCCCTTCACCAGCAGGTCCCAGGTTGAGTTATAACCATTTAAAATTCAGAATTAAAAACAGTTAAAGCAGATTGCAGGCAAAGGAACAGGGTGGGTCCTGAAAAGGCCAGCAGTGAGCAAGCACAAGATTCCCAAGGGAAAACCACACATTCCACATGACCTCCACCCCCAAACCAAAACAGCACAACTCTGAGAAAACCTCCAAGAAGAAATAGATTGTGTGGAATCAGTTCCACAAACAGAGCTGATATTAAGATGGAACCTGAAAAGCGTGACTGTATTTTTGAGAGGGATATCAAAAGGAGAAGTTTGCCACGTGTCATTTCTATCAGTGAAGCAGTAGGATGGAACAAAACTGCACACGCTGAACATCTTGCCATGTAGTCATTAAAGACACATGTTCCTTAATTTGTTCAGAAGTTAGTAATCCTGGCAATGATCTGCAAATTCATTTTTAGAGTACTGTTATCATTTGGATCCAAGAGAATAAAAGACATTAATGATCAGAAATATTAATGTCTTTTAATTATTAATATAATTAATAAAATTAATAAAATTGGCAGATTAATAAAATTGGCAGAACTTGGCAGGATTGTACAGACGATTGGTGTGCCAAATAGAAACTAATTTATCGCTTGGTAAGCTGTTGTCTCCATTCACTGAATCGTGTACAACAGCCCTCTTAGGACTGTACCACTTTAGAATATAAGTGTGAGACCCATGGTGGAAAACTCCCTGCTACTGAAAAGTTAGCTGGTCAGGGAGAAGGCTCTAGCTTAGCTTCCTCCCTAGTGAGTTAGCTTTCTGCATGCAAAGAGTTTTATTCCTGTGCTAGATAATTCAGTCATGCGTTTCCCTACCTGCATTCTGAAGTGGGAAGTTTCTGAAGTGATCAGGCAGACTGCACTGTGTCCTTTTTCTGAAGGCAGAGATAACTTTTAGTGGGTTCTGATGCTTTAAGTGTGAAAGCATCAGGTTAGAGAGCTGAAAAACAGAAACGACAACGGCCACCAAGTTTTCTCAATTCTACCTTTCATAAATCTCCGAGAAACTGTTTCTTTTAATGGCCAGAAAGCACAACTCAAACTCTCCACTCTCACCACTTGGAGGACTAGCGGCTCGCTTGTTCCAACTGAGGCATCACGAGGCAAAGCCAAAATACGTGCTTTGTTCTGGATCTCAAGCATCCCAGCAATGGCCTTACCATTGAGCCTTAATTTGTCTGTTAAAAAGTAAGATTGCGTGCATCTTTTTAAAAAGTCCAATTCTTTCGTTTCAAGCTAAAAATAGGGTGACAGAGGGACCGTGGGATAAGCAGCTGGAGCGGAGCGAGTCGGTTGCCATAGTAACCAATGAGCCATTTAGCAGTACTTGCCTTGGTTGTATAGTTGCTAGGGTTATTTTCTTCTCTTCAGCTATGTGGGGAGAGGGGGGGGAGAGGGGCCTTGCAAAGCACCATAAATGTCCAGTTTCCTCTTCTGCACCTCCATAATCAATAATGTCATCACCCCCCACACCCCCATGCAATGATGTTCTTCGTTCCTGGCTGTGTCAAAGGTTCCAGGCAAGACTGGCATTCAAGAGATGCATTTATGTGAGGGTGTATGTGTGTGTGCATACAGCGTGTCCCTAACCTCCCTTTCACATTTCTTTTATGAAAACTTTGCTGTTCAATCAGAGGAGGACGACTTTGGGTGTACTTTTATGTATCAATGTAACTGCAGTTTCTGAATTAGAAATGTCTTGTGCAGCTTTCTTGTTAAGCGTATTCATTCCTCGTTGTTCCCCTCCTTCACTATGTTCTCTCTTTGCATCATAAAGGGTAGACATCAAAGGTTGGCATCATCAGGTAACTGCCAAGGCCACGATCCTGGCAGGGTCCCCCCACTGTTGACCTCTCGGACCCCATGGCCTGGCCGCTCTTCCTTCTTGCTGTTTGTTGTCGCCTCTTCCTCTGGCCTCTCCGAATTAGTGAGCAGTGAGAGGAATGAAAAGGAGAAGGAGCAGTCTCTGTCTATACAGACTGGGCCAAGAGGAAGAGGTCAAGCGAAGAGGCAATGGGCAGATGCAATTTTAGTGTAGTGTGACTGGCTTGGCCACACCGGGTGCTAGCACCACAGGGGGTGCCACAACAATAATGTAGAATGGAGTGTGGGAGGCAGCACCAAATTTTAGCGTAACACAAGGTGCCAGCGAAATTTGAGAGCCTGAAGTTCACCACTGCAGTGGAGACAGTAGTGAGAAGGCGCTGAACCCACTCAGGGATGGGGCCTCCTAAGAGAATCTTGGCCACGTGGTGTCCATTGTCCACTGATGTCATGGCAGCCCCTCAAGTATCACCTGCATGTACTACAACATCGTCATCATACAGTATTTTGTGCAGTGCTTTAACTAGGCATCCCTTTTCAAGCTTGCGCGCACAAGAAACAACAACATTCACATGCAGGCGGGTGCTTCGCCACGCAAATGAACATTTATTCTGAGACATCCTTTGTCTCAGAATAAACTGAGGCTCATTTGAAGTTCAAGTAGGATAGTTTTATTGTAGGTCCTTTTAAGTAGGAGGCAGTTGCTTCACTGAGTCTCTAAAATGCCCCACTACCACTCACGCTTGCCATTACATAGAGAAAATATTGTTTCCATCATCAGTACATGGATGCCCTCAACAAGTCATTTTTCGGATCACAGCAGGTCCAAGAATTGCTGACTGTGTTGTGATAAATCACAGCTAAGTTAATCTCTGTGGTCCTCTGGGGCACACTGTATTTTTGTATCTGTGTGGCAGTCTACCCAATAATGGTCAAAAGTAACTACATGAAGTTACTTTTGAACTATGGTGCTGGAGGAGACTCTTGAGAGTCCCATGGACTGCAAGAAGATCAAACCTATCCATTCTTAAGGAAATCAGCCCGGAGTGCTCACTGGAAGGACAGATCCTGAAGCTGAGGCTCCAATACTTTGGCCACCTCATGAGAAGAGAAGACTCCCTGGAAAAGACCCTGATGTTGGGAAAGATGGAGAAGGGGACGACAGAGGACGAGATGGTTGGATAGTGTTCTCGAAGCTACCAGCATGAGTTTTTTTTTTTTATATATATAATTTTTTATTAAAGTTTTAAACAACAAAAGAAAGAAAAACAACACACACGAAAAACAGTACAAAACTCAACAATAAAAACACAAAGCATAACAATTAAAAACAAACTGTCTTTTCCATTTCCAATTTTAAATTACTTATTTTCTGGACTTCCTCATACCTCCCTCTTTTGTATTCCAATCCACATTATTTGTCCAGCAGTTTCTTTTCCACTTTTTTAATCCCAATCTTTAATTTAATAAAATGTTAAAATATATAACTTCAACTTTTTTTTTTAAACCTAATTCTTGATCTTAATATCATATAACTTTAAAATTTTCCCTTTTAATATCAAATTTCCATTTCTTTAAACATCTTTAATCTTGATCTTCAATCTTAATCTATCATTAACTTTAACCTGTGCAGCTGGAAACCGCTTACTTTTAGTCCAACATCCCTTTAACATTCCTTAATTTTACAATGTTTCTGAAGATAGTCTTTGAATTTCTTCCAGTCTTCCTCCATCGACTCTTCTCCCTGGTCACGGATTCTACCAGTCATTTCCGCCAATTCCATATAGTCCATAAGTTTCATCTGCAATTCCTCCAGCGTGGGAAGTTCTTGTGTCTTCCAATACTTTGCGATGAGTATTCTTGCTGTTGTTGTTGCATACATAAAGAAAGTTCTATCCTTTTTTAACGCCATTTGGCCGACTATGCCCAGGAGAAAGGCCTCTGGTTTCTTAGGAAAGGTATACTTAAATACCTTTTTTAATTCATTATATATCATTTCCCAGAAAGCCTTAATCTTTGGGCACGTCCACCAAAGGTGAAAAATGTACCTTCAGTTTCTTTACATTTCCAACATTTGTTATCGGGCAAGTGATAGATTTTCGCAAGCTTGACTGGGGTTATGTACCACCTGTATATCATTTTCATAATATTCTCTCTTAAGGCATTACATGCCGTAAATTTCATACCAGTGGTCCATAATTGTTCCCAGTCAGCAAACATAATGTTATGTCCAACGTCCTGTGCCCATTTAACCATAGCCGATTTTACCGTTTCATCTTGAGTATTCCATTTCAGCAGCAAGTTATACATTCTTGACAAATTCTTAGTCTTGGGTTCTAGCAATTCTGTTTCTAATTTGGATCTTTCCACCTGGAAGCCAATTTTCCTGTGCTACCAGCATGAGTTTGACCAAACTGCAGGAGGCAGTGGAAGACAGGAGTGCCTGGCGTGCTCTGGTCCATGGGGTCACGAAGAGTCGGACACGACTAAATGACTAAACAACAACAACTACATGAAGAAAATGCCTCTGTGAACTGGGCCCCAGTCTCTGTGACCCTTTCAGTTCAAAACTGCCTGGGTAGTTTGGGTTGTGTGGATAAATGGGACTGATGCAGTCCTCAGCCCCCTTTTCTAGAGCAGCCCCACTGAAATTGGCAACAATACTGCAGGTCAAGACGGAGAAGAAGCAAGGAACCTGGCTGTCCCAATGCTGTTGGCCTGCAACTCCCATAAACCCCAGACCAGAGGGCCAAAGATTCCCCACCCCTGTCTTATGCATGCACTTACAGTTTGCTGATTTTATGCTACACTGGAAACACAGGAAATCAGTAAAATGAGTGTCTGCACAAATGCAGGTACAATTATTACTTTGGGGTTTGTTTTTGTGTGCGTGACTGATGGCTATAAATGCACAAGTGCCCTCCCTCTAAAGTTGCCATTGGTACATATATTTAGACATTTTGTCCTGTAAGAAATGCAGTGTCCTGCCTGCTCATTTAATAATGCAGGCTGACAGCTGGACCTTGGCATCAATCAGGAACAATCTTCAGTCGCTAACAACCTGAGCAAGACTGCATTGAGTAACCTTGAGGTGCAAAGGCTTTGTGTCCCATCCCTAGCGGCCCTGATTGATTCCACCAGGCTACAAGTTCTTCATGAGCCTTATTAACACCAACTGCTTAAATGAGATGAATAATTATGAAGCAAATGAAATACACTCCTTGGCAATACTTTGTGACCTCAATTTTGTCAGGTAATTGAATGGTATGCAGGCAGACCAGATGGGATAAAGCAAGAATCAAGCAAACACTGCCTTAAGATACAAATAGCTTTCAGGGCCATTCCTACTATATTAGACAACATGAGGCAACTGCCTCAGGTGGCAGATGCTGAGCAGGACTAGCTGTGGCTACTACCTGCCCCCAGCCAATCCTGAACTCTGCCTCTGGCTATTCTGAGGTCCTTTTCATTCCCACTCTGCGGAACTAGGGCCCCAGAGAGGGGGCTTGCTTACTTCTGGTCAGAGCTGCTGCCAGGCTTGCCTAGTTGGCTTCTCCCAATATATCCCAAACAGCCCTGTTGGGAAAAGCCTTTGACCAAGACAGAAGCCGGCCCAGGCTGCACAACTTAGCAGGCATCACACATGCACTGCTTCGCTCATATGCTTTGCATATTCTGGTACTACATTATTGTTTGTTTAGGTGGGCATTAAGTGGGTGCCGGGCAAGAGATTAGAAGACAGGTGTGGCATGGGAACATAGAATTCTGTTGCGTTGTCACTAGTGCAAAAGTAAGGGTCAGCTCCCAGTAGGGAGAACTTTGGTTTGCATTGCATTTTAATTCAAATTTATATAATTCATGCTTTCCGAAATAATATGCAAGCTGAACTGCAGTGATCCTTCTAAATTCACACTGAATTTTGTGGTGTACTTGTCCAACCAAAAAAAGTGTACAAAAATGCATGCACTGGGGTGCATACCATGCATATATTAATGGAAATGGCATACAGCAATGTAACATTGGGAAAAATAGCTTGCAAAAATGTAAATAGTATAAAATGCAGAACTGCATACAAAAATATGTATAGTAGGAGAAGTGTGCACTAAAATGCTGATGGATTTTCATGAGGACTTAAAAAAGAAAATCACACGCTGATATGTGGCGAACTCAACCTACTCTTGGAAAAATGAGAAACTGAGAGAAACTGAAATTGACAGATCATCCCTCTTCAATTGCCAGTCTGCTCTGTGTTTGGGGTTGAGGGGGTTGGGTGGATCTTGTCCTTTGCATCAAGCAGCAATATATCTTGAACTAGCTTGCTCTTCATTTTTTTTTTACAAAATGGTAAATAAGGCAGGTAACACATTAAAGCAACACTTGTTAATGTTTTCATAGCTAATTTTTTAGTTCTTGGCTACATTAGCAGCTGGATGATGAATACATCTACTACTTTTGGAATTTAACTTTATCATTGTAGAGATAAACTTTGGAGAGCAGGAGTGCTTCTTGGACAGAATCTTTACAAATGCCACGTGGTAAGGGTGTGCTTGTCAGATTCTAAGTCAGATCACACAAAGTTGTTATTTTGCAGCCTGGTCCTAAACATGCTTACTCAGAAGCCAATGCCACCAAGGCACCACCACTTAAGGGAAGGGGTACATTCCTGTAGGCAGCGACAACCCTCCACAGAAAAGCCCCGTGAACTCCTGTCAGCATGGCAAATGGGCTCACTGCATCCCCAGGCACTGCAACCACCATGGGATTATTGCTGGACTGTGCTGGGACTGCACACAAGAGCCCTATGGACACAATATTTGACTAAAACCTGGCTGCATATTTTCCTCAAAGCTTAGGGCTTCAGGGATAATGCATTAGTTTTGCCTTGGTAGTCTTTAATACATAATGATATGATAATGTCAGACTTTAAGCATTCAATTACTTTTGTTTCTTGATCTATTTATGAATCCACTTTTTTGTTTTTGTTTTTAACAAGCACTGGATTGTAGATAATCACTGCAGAGCCAGGAAGTGAAACTGTCACTGTGATTATTGTCAAAGAGGGATAGGTGGTTAACTCATGTCTAGGCAAAATGGACATATAATTGTAAGTGACCCAAAGGAGCATATAAAGCAAGCGTCGTTGCTCCAGATGTTGTTGGACTCCAACTCCCACCAATCCCATGGCCAGTAAGTCATGGGTGATGGGAGCTGTACTCTAGAAACATCTGATTCTCCACCCCAATTATATAGTATCCCCACTAGAAGAATGGATTGGGAATAGCTATCCAGCATGGGTCTCTAATGAAGGACTCAATGGTGAGGCTGAATCTTGTGTTGTGGACTAGAGTTATCTGCTGTATCCACCACTCTGAGCCAGCACAGTTTGTTGTCCATCATCTCTACCTCTCCATTTTTCTATATTCTGTATTATTAATTAATTAATTAAATATATTGGTTGCTTTTTCTTGCCAAATGCA